AAAAATCAAAAAAGCAACTAGTTTGGATAGCTTTACGTCTTACGGTGTTAAACCATTATTTCACGATTTCTGGAGAAAGCGTATGGACCGTGAACGATCCGTATACACGAAATGATAGAAGTCATCCAGTTGTACTTGGAACCAGCCTGGAGCACTTGGAACACGCTCTTGGGCGAATATGGGAAGGTTTTAGTGACCATACACGTAGTGAAAAGGTAATATTTTGGGATTTTCTCACGATTGGTTTGGCCTTTGGAAAATCCAAGGTTACCATTAGATAGAGCTCGTTCAGTTCTACTTGGAACCGGGCTGGAACACTTGGAACACGTTCTTGGACGAATATGGGAAGGTTTTAGTATGCAGGTTTGCCTTTTCACATAGAAAAAGAGCAGTATTTTGGATTTTTCTCAGGATTGGTTTGGACTATGGAAAATCCAAGGTTACCATTAGATAGAGCTCGTTCAGTTCTACTTGGAACCCGGTTGAAACACTTGGAACACGTTCTTGGACGAATATGGGAAGGTTTTAGTATGCAGGTTTGCCTTTTCACATAGAAAAATAGCAGTATTTTGGATTTTTCTCAGGATTGGTTTGGGCTATGGAAAATCCAAGGTTACCATTAGATAGAGCTCGTCGAGTTCTACTTGGAACCGGGCTGGAACACTTGAAACACGTTCCTGGACGAATATGGGAAGGTTTTACTCGAATGTGGAGCTAACTTCACCTACGTGAAAACGATATAATAAAATTGCAGATAGAAAATTCTAGCAATCATTGCGTCAAAAATATAACATAGTCAAGATTTCTTACGAAACATATTAAGAAAAGTTGATAAAGTACTACTCATCGTCGTCATTGTCATTAGTCTGTAAGTAGCCATTGATTTATCACAATTCAAGATCAACAGCTGAACATTTATCATTTAAATATTTTGATAATTTTTTTGCACAAAATATGAAAATATATTTCTCGAGTCGCATCAGTTGGACCAGCGGATCGAAAAATAGTAAACAATCCGAATGAATCAAATTGGCTTCATATAAATTTTAAAACTTCGAAGACTAATAATAAACATGCCGCATCAAAATCTCATCAATGCAGAACAAAGAGGGCTCGAACAACAACATCAGTGGTGCGAATTCCTCGATCTCAACTATCATCATGTACTATTCACAAGTGTCATGATCAGCAACAATCATCGAACGATGTAGAACAACCGTTTAATGATGAATTAGTTCATAATAATATCCATGCAACAATTTCAAATGATGTACAAATTGATCTTGATCATTATATACAAACATCACTTTCTTCTAAGACTCTACCAGATCAAGTAAATTTAAACACTTCTATAACTACATCATACATTTCTGTCAATAGTTTTCTAAAAATAGTGCATTATCTTCTATATGAATTCATTCTGAAAAGGTTAGTTCTAATTTTTAAAAAAATGTAAGTTATTGAAATAAAAATTCTATAGACAAACGCTTCAGAAATCGATTTTGATCCAATAAATGGTAGGATTTTTTCAAACAAGTCCTTTAATGGCAGTATCAATTCTCGTTCAACAATCAAAAAAAGACAAATAATAGGTGATCAATTTGTGTTCGATATAAATAGAAAAAATAACAGATAATCTTCTCTTAATAACATTGCGAAAGAAACACGTCGTCGTCATCGTCGATTATGCGGCGCTTTTTGTCCATGTTGCTCGTCTTGTTGTTGTCTACTTACAGGTTTTCTTTTATTATTGCTACTTGCCGTTCTTGCAGTACTAATTTTTTTTATAATCTCACTTAAAACCAGTACAACAAGTAAGAATATATTATTGTGTTTGTCGGATGAGTATTGTTTATCTAAAAAGCAAAAACAACTACCACTACTACATCAGTAACAACTACGACGACAACATCGTCTACAACCAGCACAACAACAACAACAAGTGATTTTGAATTCATAAATTGATTGAGATCTTCTTTTTTTTGTTTAAAAATCTAGGTACATCAGTAACCACAAGTAAAACGACTATTAAGTTAAATTCATAGATAAAATTTAAATTATTATTTCTTACCTGTTTGTATGATTCGCATCAATTAATATTCACTATTGCTTATTAAAAAATTCCGGGAAAAATATGACAAAAAAAAAGAAAAAATTTGATTGTTTTTTTTTTAATAAATATTCTTTGAAAAATTGGCTGAGAATTCAGACTAGGATACCTATGACTTCTGAATAACTAAATCTAAAGCTTGCGTCCTTTTGTAGAATTTTCATTTGCAGTTTAGATGCACACCTGATAATTGAAAATTCACTATAGTCACGTCATAAGAATACGTTGATTTCCAAAGCGGTCGATTGAAAACCTTACAAAAACCCAGCTGGAAAAAACTTTTAATTTACGTTTCAACGGATCTTCAACTCCTATTTTGAAAGGTGAAAATCGCAGCTCTCTTTCTTGTTTCTATTCGAAAGCTATTTGAAAAATTCTCAGCCGTCTTTTTTTGTTTTCGTGAAATGGGCATTAATACCTGAACTATTTATTTTTATTAATTACCAAATACATTTAATTTTAGCGGTTACCACATCAACACCAACGACAACAGGTGCTACAACTGTTAGTAAGTAATTATTCTAAACGGATCATTGTTAATTTTAACTTCTTGCTTTTCTTCTTCTCAGCAATTACATCGGATACATGTACGTCAGGTTGGACTGGTGTAACTGTGTTCACACTTTGCACTAGTTATCCAAATATAAATTCTTATCAACAATATACCGATACTTATGTTGCCATTGGTACTCAAACTCGTATTGCATTTGCTTTACGTGAAGATGTTGGCTTTTTCGGACTTGATGATATATCCGTAAGAAGCAATTCCGCATCAACTGTTGAGTTATTAACGAATGGTGGCTTTAAAGGAGGCACTTATTCACCATGGATTTATTGTAATCCATCTGGTTCACCTTATGCTGGAGTTCTTACAAGAACATCAGACTATTTTGCCTACAGTGGTATAACGTATTCCGCTCACTCGGGTAGTTATTATTATTTGGATGGAGCTGTAGGAAAAGCAGATTATATTAGTCAAACGTTTGCAACAAATATTGGCGAAACATACACTATTTCATTTTGGTTGTTTAATAAAGGAAGTGGTTCAAACAGTGATTTTAGAATCATACTTAGTATTTAACACTAAATCGACAGAACAAACTCTTAGTGACTTTATCATAGACAACGTTGTATTAACTAGCTTCTTTTATATAATAAAATAAACATATGTCAATAGGAAAGATTAAATATTGTCTTGTATTAAATACTTTTTGAAAAAGACAAAAAAAAACATCCATTTAAGGTATTCAAAAAATCTATTATGACATTAAAAAAAATAGTTTCCATGCTTCAAACCTGATCTTTGTATCAGAGTTCAATTGTATAACTTTTTACACATTGTGATGCATTCTTTTGAGTATTTTTACATACAATAATGCCCTACTTCTAGTAGTCAACAATAACATTCAAACATACTTTTCAAAGTTAGTGTTTTACTGATTTTTTTCTCTCTCTCTTTCTCTCTACCACGAATAGCAAACGAAGAAAAAAAAATTAAATTAAACTGTTTACAATAAAGAACTTCATTCTAGAACAATGAAAATTTTTTCAATGAAGTCCTACCAATTAATATGAAGTACGAAAAAAAAAAATATTATTTTTTTTTTATTTCTATTTGATATAGATTAATATGGGGGTCTGTATGATGAATTAAATATGCATAATCATGAAAGAAGCTGTGAGTAAGTAGTAAAAAAAATATCAGAATGTCAAAGCTTATATAAAGCATCTACCAACAGTAACTGGGCTTTCTTTTACTCATTAGTAAATTCACAACACAGAAGTATATTATTCATGAAAATATGAATGGTTTAAATAGATAAGACCTGAAAAAAAAATTCATTAATTTCAGATCATCAACAACAAGAGAAGTATGATATATTGCAATTGTAATTGATGAAAGACAAAACCAGTCAACCAGTAATTATAAATAAAACCTACATAATTTTTATTTACACAATGTATGATATATGAGAGAATACGATAATTATGTTTTTCTATTTCAGAAAAAAGTATGATAAACATTGTTTCCTTTGATTAAAAAAAATCCAAAAATTGTTATCCCGAATTCAATTAAGAAAGGTTTCATTAAAATAAATCATTATTATATGTTATTAATTATTTTTATACAAATAATGGTTTGATTGTTTGATACAAGGTCCAGAAATTTTGATTCTTCTTCTTCATTAATTGAAACCATAGTTAAACACTTCCCTTATGCATTTTTTAAACAATGAAAGTGATCGAGAGATGTTATATGCTATTGATCATATACACAATAGAAGAAAACAGTGATGACATCGACATTCTATTAATCGTAATCAATGTTCATTTGTTTTACCTTATTGTTGGCCATGCAGTATTTATTATATTTTTGATCATCAATCAACTGAATATTACAAATATTATGACTACTAGCACCAACAAAAGTCAGTCGATAATAATTTTTATGATTACTTCCATCTTGCACATTTGTTCGCGCTACTGGTGGTATAATGACGGTAGCACTTACCACTTTTGATTCTAGCAATTAACGATCTCAGAGAATGTTGTATACTCAAAATTGAATTATTTATTAGAAAAAATTCTGATCAATCGAGACGAAATAGTTTCAGAATATATTTTTGCAGGGCCATCTATAATAAAAAATTTATCTTTTAATCTACTTGATTCGGGCACTCCGACTAATAGTACAGGCACTTAAGATCATCAACACTATCAGAGTGCACTGAAATCGACTAAATTCTGTCATTTTTAACGAACTTCAAAGATATTTCACCAGTTCGATACAATACACTATGATGCATCGCTTTCAAAAATAAACTGAAGATAGTTTCTCTGTAATTATCACATTAGATAATATTTGTTCATCGGTTTTAAGCATAATAGTTACAATTCAGATCACAAATAAGTTATACAAAGAATATTTTTATTATTTTGTATTTGTTTTCTTTATTTTTCAGGGAAACTTACTACAAGTAATGTAATCTGATAAGAATAATTTTATAATAAACATCTTATTTTCAGTGTCAATTACATCACTTCATATCAATGCCAGAATTATAGTTGGACGAGTACAAACTGAGTAACTTGACAGCGACAACAGCTGGTGACGTGCAGTTCTCAGCATTTAGAAGAGACGAACTCCAGACGCCCTGTTGCCTGAGACAATATTATTTTAAATTTCATCATCTTCGCAGAGCAATACATGAAAAACGTGTTTCCTTTCGATGTAATTTTGATTTTGATATTTACTGCAGATCTATAGTTCAAGGTACGACTCTACTGGTTATCTCATCATATCTTAAAGTTGACCAAACAAAATTACATATCTATTCGGTCAATTTCATGAATTTTTTCGGATGTTTTGCATATATGATGAGTTCTAAAGTAATTTTGTCTTTTATAGTGTAGATCCCTCGTTCGAGTTCGAATATAAATGAAAACTTCGACAAAAAAAAAGATAAGAACAATAATAAGCAAAAACAAAAAAAAACTATTTCATTGATAAATTATACAATCGAGATAGTAATGATATCATAACTGAAATCTAAGCAATAGTTAATCTGTTATTTTTACACATTCAATAATGTAACAATGACAGGACATATATTCGATTACACAGATATTGACACTTAGGTATACAAGAATGCATCATTAATATTACGATCACTGTGTACACAGAGACGTACATGGATCACAACTTTTTAGGGGGCGCTTTGTGCTGCCCACGTTGCGACATCGATATAAAAGTTCAGTCACGCGAAGACAAATGTTTCTACACAAGTGAATATTCAAGATCACAATTTTGATTTATTGAATAAATAAAAATAATGAGACGTTGCGTACTACACTAAAATTATCCTCTGTATTAAAATTACAACTCAGAATAATATATATTTTTTTGCATTTCTGCCGTACTAATAGAGTAGCCCTATCTCAATTATAAATTATAATAGAAGTAAAATATTTTTTTAAAATTTTGCTTCAGGTAATCATTTATGTGTTTTTTTCTCATTTATTTTCGAAATTAGATAACTCATGCAGAAAAGTTTTACTTCGACTTTTTTTTTCTAAACATAATACATGTGCATCAACTTGAATCGATAAACCTGTACACCATGATTGTTCTTATTGTCTGAAAAAAATAATTTTACTTCTATCGCTATTGTCAATCAAATATGTGTTTCATTTAGTTTTCGTACTGATAGTACTTATTTTGCACTTGGGAATATTTTTTCTAAGAAGTATTTTTTTGCTAAGTATTGAATTAGTTGTAGATGATGATTTCGAAACAGATTTTCTTCTATTATAGCGTAACTATAAATTCATACGGAATAACTAGAATCCTGTGAGATAGTCCCGAAACTCGAAATTCTCGTTTGTTTCGTCCCGTGGGGCTCACGGAATTGTTCTGAAAATATTTGAAACTTGAAGTATAATAGCTACTAGATAAATCCAAACAACTAGTGATCACACTTTTTAACGATGATTGCACATATATAGTTCGATGAAATCTTTAGCATTATTGATATTAAACTATGGAAACTGTTAATTATCGTATCATACGAGACAACTCTCCCAACTGATTAATCGATAGTAGACCGAAATCATGTAGATTCTAATGGGTTATGAATCTTTCGAAAAAAAAAGTTCGCGTTCTTATTGACATAACTTGAAACTTCGCATAGAAACAAGAAAAGTTTTGTTATGAAAGTTTCAGATATTTTTGTTGTTCATATCATAAAATTTAGCCATAGTAGAAGTGCGTGTTTTACGTTACGCATATACATCCGCAAATTCAATTTTCTTATATTAGAACGGAAACGAATCAATTAACATGATACTTTTACAATTAACTATTCTCGTTTCTATACAAAGTTTTAAGTCGAAATTGGAAAATCAGTTTTTCTGGTGTTCCTGATGAAGATCATGACAGTGTCTTTAAAAAAATATCATAAAAATGTAATATGTTGACAATAATAAGCTATGCGCTCGAATTATTTTCAGGATATTCATAGTCTATTAGGGTCTACATTATGCACATCCTTCCGGTTCAAAAGTGATTAATCGTTTGAAGGATTTCCTTTGTTAGTCAAAAAGTTTCCAACGAATATTGATGATACAAATAAATGTTTCTATTTTGACTAGATAAACAAGGAAATGTTATAACAAGCAGTTTTCGTATTTTACATAATATACAATAGTAAAAATACAGCATAGGTTAATAAATTATAATAAATCACAAAACGAATAAATTCAATATATGAGTTTTTTTGTTCATATTCATTTATTTTTCATTGTTTCATATGGATATGTTAGTGTAAAAACAATATTTTTGATAATGGAAAATAAATTGAAAAATCTTATTATTTATTTTATTATCATTACTACTGACAATTTCATTAGAATTTTTTTCATATGATTGAACAACGATAGTAATGTAGTAATATCACCATTTATATGAAATCTAATAAGACTATTGAATAAGTGAATATAAGCATCCGATTAGGAAATGACAAGGCTTATTAATAATTCAATCGATTCTTTTTTTACCGTTCAATATTGACTAGAATAGAAATAGTGGTATGATAAAATCATTACATTTTTGTTTTCTAATGAAATAAATAAGATACAAAAAAGGTTTTATCAACAGTGTTTCTCTTTTACTAATATTGATAAGTTATGTATGTTCGTTTTTTTTTTCTCCTTGAATATAAGTCTATTGCTATTATTTATTCTTGTATGAAATACATACTGCATTCAAGTATAAGATTGGTAAGCGTCAGCTGGTCACATAACATCGAGGTATTTACTTGTCACCATATTGAAAAAAGACAGCACATTTTTATTTCTAAGTGCATCAATGCTATTAAACAACGACGACTCATTTCTATGTAGCAATTGCATTGAGAATCAAATTCACAATGAATAGGAAGAGCGATGACATTCTACTTTAGATAGATGGATGTTAAACGAGAAAAAGAAACGTTCGAATGTGAAAGAAAGAAAAAGCAGGAAAAAATGATAAATGACTTTATTTTAGACATTGTGTGTGCACAGCACATTAATTCCATTTACACATTATATATATAATATATATGCAGTTGTCTATTCTTGTTATATCCGATAAAATTTGTTTGGTGGAGAAACATTCTTTAACACGATCGAATATTTTCTTTTTTTTTTTTTTGAGAATCTTCATTTACAAAATGAAATGTTCTAGATGTCAACAAAAGCTAATCAACAACAACGTCAACGTACAAAAGAAAATTTTTTACGACAATTTCGTGATGAACAAAGTAAAGAATTAAAACGATTAACTGCAGCACAGTTTATGGAAATTTGGAGTCATTATGATACGGATGGTAAGAACAGGTATATTAGAATTAAAAATTATCGATTTATTTGATATAATTAGGTAATGGTTATATTGAAGGTCATGAATTAGATGATTTACTTCGAGAACTTGCATCATCAGTTAATGTAAATGATGCAGGACCAGAAGTAAATTGTTTTTTTTTTGTTTGAAAAATTTTTCTTTGATTGAATTTATTTTTGTTTTAGTTAATACCTGATAGTGTATTAAAAGAATTAAAAGAATCATTTTTAGAAGCTTATGATGAAAATGAAGATGGTAAAATTGAAATTGGAGAAGTTTGTTTTAGTAGTTTGTTTTTTAGTTTGATAATGAAATCTATAATTTTATTATTTTGTTTAGTTAGCTGAGATATTACCAACAGATGAAAATTTTCTTCTTCTTTTTCGTAAAGATAATCCACTTGAATCAAGTGTAGAATTTATGAAAGTATGGAAACAATTTGACACTGATTGTTCTGGTTTTATTGAGGCAGATGAATTAAAACAATTTATTAAAGCACTTTTAACTAAACGTCGAGGAACAAATTTAACTGAAGAGAAATTAATTGAATATACGGATACAATAGTATGTCAAATCTTTATACAACCATTGATTTTTCTTTCTATTTATCTATATAGTTACATATATTTGATACAAATGGTGACGGAAAATTACAGTTTAGTGAAATGACGAAGTAAGAAGAAAACTTAGAAAGAAAAATATGAATATACAAAAACAAAAATTAAATTTTAGACTTCTACCAGTAAAAGAAAATTTTCTTTTACGTCCAATATTTAAAGTAACTGTGAGATCATTAAAAAAAAGTATTTATTAAATTGTTTTACAAAGGGTTGTTCATCTATAACATCACAAGATCTTGATCGAGTATTTCAACTTTATGATAAGGTAAAAAGTTTGTCAAGTTCCTTTTTTTTATTCTCTAAATTTTCCATTTGTCTTTGAACAAAAAAAAAAAGGATGGAAATGAATTAATTGAAGAAGAAGAATTGGATGGTTTCGTTAAAGATCTTATGGATCTTATTAGAAAGGTATAATAAAACATTGCTTGAAATATTTTAAATCTATTCTTTAATCATATAGGATTATGATAATGAAGATTTACAACAATTTAAACAATCATTACTAAATGGATGTGATTATAATCGAGACAAAAAGATTAGTAAAGCTGAACTTAAAATGGTTCTATTGGCTTTAGCTCAACCGCCTGATTCTTAAATTTATTGCATATATTGTAAAATGTATTCAATTTTTCTTTTTTTTCAATATTCATTATTTATGTGCATTTTCCGATTGTTTCTTTGTTTTGTTCCATTAAATAATTGTCTATTTTTAACCCTTTTATTTTATCATTAAATAATAATAATTCAATTGATTGTTAGCATGACATGAATGTTCATTTTTTTTTGTTTCGAAAGCATTACTTATATATACAAGAATAAAAAAAAAAGTTTGAATAAATAAGTTTTTCATCACTATTGGTTTATTTTTAATTATTTTTCTCGATAATTTTTGTAATTAGTAATGTACGTAGACAGAACATGAAAATATTTTGTATCCAACGGAACTTCTACAATCTAATTTGTGTGGCTATTCTTAAAATTTTTCATAATTATTCCCTGCATCAGTCTATGCACAGAAGAGACATCTAATTCTTTAAAATATTATTTAAATAATTTGATTTATAGTTTCAGTTTCCATAAGAAAAGAAAAATGTTGATGAATAAAAGAATACAAAAGGCATATTTATTCTTCTTCACAGATCGATGTAAAATGCTGTTAAAAGAAAGTAATATTGAATTAATCTTCTAAAATATATAGACTCTTGAGAATTCTTCAACACATTTTTCCTTTTGTTCAGTCGAACTTGTCAAGAACCAAGGATGTGCAAATCTTTTTTGATGATTATGCATAATAAAAAAAAACATAATGTATTCGACTGTTTCTGCATAGGATATAATTAATAAATGCAACATTCTTTTGCACTTAAATATATTATTTCAAGAATGAATAAATCTTAAAATTCCTTCTTTTTCCAAAGAATATTCTCTTATGCCGAATATATTAATAAAAATAAGAAGACTATTGATAAATGAGTACTTACGAGAGAACCTCGAGGCTATACGATTAGAAGGAGAAAGCAAAATGATTTCCTTCTTCCAAATTTTTTCTTCCGCTGTATTTTTCTCCTTGGGAATTATCTGTTATGAATCGACAACGTTTTTAATCTTTCAATGGGACACATTGACTGTGCAAAAACGAAGTTCTTTTCGCAATTTTTCAAAGAGAAACTAAATCATATCATAATATTTTGAAGAGTAGGATAAGACAAATATCCAATAGTATGATTTGATCGTCAACATATCCAAAGCTTATTTAATAGATACCATAAAATACTATGTACGAAATCCAGTTCAATATTTGATACTTGAATGGTTTAAATTATATCAAATTTTAATAACTTTACTCATTGGATTTGATGAATGTGAACGAAATTTTAGTGCACTACAACGAATTATAACGAAACTACAGGAATTAATTATCTCTCACCAAAAGTCTTAAAAACAGTTGTTGTGTGTAGTAAAAATATATTCGATATACAGCATAGTTTTCTAATTAAAACTCTAAAATGATTTTGGTTCCTATTGAAATTTAACTAAGCTATTCAATTTTTAACATGTCTTTTATCTAGAAGTCCAAAGTTTTCGAATAACTCGTATTTTCAAATTTTGATCTGAAACGTAGGGCATATAGAGAACTCAACTAAACTGACTTTCATAAAAAATTCAGAAATCTTGAACAAAGTCTTGTCGACATATGAAGCTTTCAATAAATGTATATTGCATATACCAGAGATAAAATTGGTCTGACTTTGTTACGACCGGTACCGGACCAATCGGTCTGAAACCTATGCCAATACTAGTCTGACCAGTTATCGTACTATTTCATCTAAGGATAGTGATATTTGACATAGTCAATTTTCAACAAAATTTCATTACACATCCTCGATGGAAAAGCATTCATCTCTCGAAGCGACTTTAATAAAAACTTCTGAAATTTTGCATGAAAGCTAGTCTAGTTGATTTTTCTATATACACAAAGTTTCAGATCGAAAATCGAAAATATAGATTTTCCGAAAATCTGAGGCTTCGAGAAAATAAACGTATTAATAATTCGATCACTTAGTCAAATTTCAATAGGAACTCAAAAGCATTTTAAGGTTTTGATAAGAACACTATGAAGTAGCTATAAGCAAAATATCATTGAAAATTGGAAGGGACATCTGAGTAGATTCCCTGGTTAGCTTGTGATTTCAATCGACAAATCTAAGAATAATAGAATTTTGATATTTATCAAAGTTATAGTTGTGAAATATAGTTGATGCTCATTTGGTTGTAAATTACGTAAGATGAAAAGAATTTTAAAATTTTTATCCCAACAACATCCGACTTTTGTCATCGACAATCTTTTTTTTGCGTTTTTAACTCATCTGATGATTAACTGCAAGTGCCATGTCAATGAAAATCAAGATTAAACTACATTATTCACTTTGCCTTTTGGGAATTAGGTCTGTCGTGTCAGAATCGGTGCTAATACTAATTAATACTACTACTAATGTTTACACATGAGTATTAAAATTAAGCCTAAAGCTTTGTTATTACCTACCGCTAAAATATTAAATAATTTTAATGAAAAAACAATACGAAAGCATTAGGTTTAATTTTTATAATAATGCTTATCTGACACACTTTTTTTGCAAGTTTTTTGATGATTCAGAACCAGACGTTATATGATAATCATATTGCTACTTGACGGATCTCTCATAAGCCAATAAATAAAACCGATTATCCGAAAAACACATATAACAGATGAATATAGAGCAACTTTCCATTGTGTACGTACTGTGTTGTTCCACTTTTAATAGGATAAATGTTTGGAAACAACCAACTTATTCAAAGATTGATTACTACTCATTATTCTCATGTGATTTAGCTGAAAATACAAATATATTCCATCCAGATAACGATATTATTAATTATTCACTATGTATAACTACATATTTTTTTATTTTCTGACTGAAATAAAAACATGAGCTTTTTTAAATTTTCGAGAAACTTCATGTGAAGAAGATGCGTCAACTAAATCTATAGGTTACCTTATTTAGAATATGTCAGATATATGAAAATCAAAAATCCATGACAAGAAAAAGCATAAAATTCTTATATTTGTCACTTTTGTCAACCAGTGATAAAATGAATTGTTTTATTTTTCGTTAGATTACAACCCATAGTCTTTAGTATTCTCGAGAAAAACAAAGTTTCAGGTCAATTGTTTGATCATTTTAGGTTTTATTGATGATACAATCACACCATACCGTTTTTTATCCTTCCAAAGTTATTTTACCGTTTATTATTGCAAACTGTTGCTAGCCTGTTCTAAGTTGAAATTTTCTTTACGATATTTGATTCAATAGGATAAATTCTGCTCTACATAAAGAGTGCTTTTCGTAGCTTTTCTTTTTTGTAACAGTTAAAAAACAATGTTTTTTTGACTCAAACCGGAAATCGTCAACAAAAAAGTGACAAAAGACTATTTTTTTTTATATGATGTTTAACCATTTCTATTGTTAAAATATATCATTATCAATTGAACTACAAATTGCATGAATTATCCTATTTAAATAGATATTTCCTGTTAGGAAATTATGTTGATCGTCTCCTATGTATACACTAATCACATATAGATGAAGTTATACAAAATTGTTTTAACAACATGACTTTGTAGGAAATCTTTTCTCCGTACAAAACCCTTATATCTGAAACCAAAAGTACATATATATCACTTAAGTTATATAAATTTGTAACATTATAAATAGCTTATTATGGTCTCAGCAACAGCCTAACCACACAGATCTCATTAAATGCATAGATTAAATTTTGTACGTCACGTATATGTAGGTAGAGCATGAAATTAAGAACAAGACGCTATATTAAATTTTATTTAATACATCTTTGTTTGGTGAGATTCATATTTAGATCTGTGGCTGATGTATGCATAGAAGACGATCAATACAATTTTCCAAAATGAAATATCTATTTAAATACGATAACTCATCCAATTGGTAGTTCTATTGATAATGATAAATTTAGCAATTAATTTGACTAGATATCATATAAAAAAGGTCTTTTGTCACTTTTTTGTTGATAATTTCCGGTATAGGTCAAAAAAACATTGCTTGTTAATACTTACTGAACGGAAAGCTACGAAAAGTGCTCTTTATGTAGAGCGGAATTGATCTTGTTGAATTAAATATTATAAAGAAATTTCCAACTTAAAACAGGCTTGCAAAAGTTTGCAAAAGTATGCGGTTAAATAATTTTGGAAGGACGAAAAGTGGCATGGTGTGATTGTATCATCAATAAAAGAAATCAAACAGATTCATCGATCGACCTGAAATTGTTTTATCTAGACTACTAGAGATCATCAGCTGTAATCTAACGAAAACTAGATCGTTCTCGCTCATCTAATTTTAAGGGAAATAATCTACTAGTTGAATAATTTTGACAGCAACTGTATGTATATACCAATAATGATTCTGTGACAAAACTTTTTTTTGTTGTTTTCGAATAACATTCATATCAACTGGAAGAATTCTCTTCGAAGTCAAGCTTATGTAATAAAAAAATCAAACAGTTAACTGATGATAAAATTATCATGTGAGACAATGAATATTTCGAGCTGAGAGCATACTACACTTTGATTAATTATTGTTAATTCAATCATTGTCTTTAATATTCTATGTTCTGAAACAATTAAAAATCTCATTATTCTTTTCTTCTATATTCGTCAAATTAAGCATACTTTGTTAGTTACAATTTCATTTTATTATCAATTGTAGTTTTTTTATGTGACCCGAAAAAATTCTAAATGAAATTGATCTCAATCGACATGAAAGACATTTAGAAAAGAAAAAAACAGACTAAGAATTTCATCATAAAATCTAGTCTTTAATTGAATGCCATGGTCTTGAAAATTTCTCCTAATGTTGCCTTCTTCTCAAGGCTTAACATTCTTCCAAAGCGAATTTTATAAGGAATCAAAAACTGAGTCTCTTAAAAATTGTTCACTTCAGTCGATATTTATTTCTACTTATAAAACTAACATCTAGTTCACTACATATAATCAGAATGGATCCTATCATTGAAACTTTTGTGTCTGACGAATCTGTGGCATCTTTATACAGGGTATATCAAAATTATAGCCCCCCATTGTCATTGTTTTGTTTCTATGAAAACGAATAGCTGGATCAAATGTAAGCAGTGATTCTGATAGCTCTCGAAGTTCTCTATCGAATGCAGTATATTTGAGACTTTTTAAGGTGACTTCGTTATGTAATGTTTTTGAAAATACTTAAGACCCCATTTTTGACTTTTCGAAGGGCATGTCAGACAACATTTTCAATGTATGCATCGGATAGAGCTAAAAATTCTGAGCAAAATGAGTGGTCGTACGGCTCTGGGTCACTTTCCAATGAAAAGTTATGCCTTTGACAAAAGTCGAAAAAAACTGAAAAATGATCAAAAAATGTGAAAAATCGGCTAAAAACACGTTTTTTTCGACTTTTGTCAAAGGCATAACTTTTCATTGGAAAGTGACCCAGAGCCATACGACCACTCATTTTGCTCAGAATTTTTAGCTCTATCCGATGCATACATTGAAAATGTTGTCTGACATGCCCTTCGAAAAGTCAAAAATGGGGTCTTGCGTATTTTCAAAAACATTACATAGCGAAGTCACCTTAAAAAGTCTCAAATATACTGCATTCGATAGAGAACTTCGAGAGCTATCAGAATCACTATTTACATTTGATCCAGCTATTCGTTTTCATTGAAACAAAACAATGACAAAGGGGGGGGCTATAATTTTGATATGCCCTGTATTTATGGTCTTTCCTTTTAATTAGTCTCGTTAAGTTTGCAGTTACATTGAAATTGTTTTGGCTTCTTATCTCATAACATTCCAAATGTTTTCTTCTCTTTTGGAATCTTCCTAATAATTGACTAATCACGATAAAATAATCTGAATTGTAGGTCGTTGTTGACTGAAGTTTTTTTGCAATTGACAGCGTTTGCTTGTTTGTTTTCAAATGAGTCTTTTCTTACTTTTTGCAGCATAACAATGCTTTCTGCTCCATTTTTGTCTGCCTTTTTCACTTTCAGATGACACAAAGATTAATAGGTTTCAGTACAGTTCATTTTTCAATTTAAATAGATATTTTAGAAAATTCAAAACTTCATTGTATTTTCAGCAAAAGAGAAGAAAAGTAATCATTTGATTCATTTGAACTTTACTTCAAAAAGAATATTTAGAACAAAAATGGATTTATTTTTTACTTGCTTCTTATGAGAAAAATGAATCTTTTGAGATAGTCTAATGTGAATGCAAAAATAGATGCTAGGCCTTGGTTACTTTAAATTTAGGTAGATAAACAGGAGGTAAGGGTATGGGCATATGAGATGTGGTTGATAGGCGTGTGGGTGTTTGTGTGCTCTCAATATGAAAATAAAATATTTACACAGCTACAAGTATAACTACACTCAAACCCTTGTTACACTCGGTAGCAAAATTCGTTTGTTTAGAGCTTGTTTGGCTTAATAAAAAAAATTATATCTTGACAACAAAGGATTTGAATATAATCATACAAAAATTCTATATGAGCAAGTAATAGTACATATTGAATTTAATTCTGATAATCGAGGAGGCAACTTAAAAGGATCGTTTTATGACATTTTTCCAGATATTGAAAATGAAGCTAAATTATTTGCAGCTAATGAATGTCAAAAAAGAACATCTGATTTTAAAGCAGCTGATTTACGTAATTTTATTGACGCAAAATTCTATGAAGTAACTGGTTTAAACAAGAATAGTAATGATTCATTTATAAGATCTGAACGAAGTTGTCGACTTGATTTAAAGAATTGGGGAGCTAAATTTGAAAAAAATTCTCAAAGACCTTATTTTGAAGGTATGATATGGAAAGCTCGAAACAAAATCTAAAAAACTCGTGGCAAAAAAAACAACGAAAAAAATAATTTCAGAAAAATGAAAACTCGAATAATTGAAATATTGGAAACTTACATTGTGCAAAAGGGTTAGATGAAATGAGAGTGATTCTATATACTTATTTTCGATATTTTTCAGTTCAAGTTTTCCTTTTTTCCTAAATTTTTTGCTCCAAAAGTTTTTTAAGATTTTTTTAAACTTTCAATAACAATTTATTTTTCAGGACATGAAAGAGAGGATGTTGTCAAGCATCGAAACACATTTATTAATTACTTTTTATCTCGTAAAAATCATTATTATACGTTAAATGATGATGAAACACCAACATGGATTTATCCAACTCGACGTCCTTGTATTCTAATGTGTCATAATGAATTAACCTTTCGTAGTGGTGAAGTATCAGCAAAACGTTGGATGATGACTGATAGTAGTGGATTTTTTAGTAAAGGTCGAGGAAGAAGTTACATGGTATCAGATTTTTTAGTACAACATCCATCCAGTCCATTTTTTAGTTTAAATGAAGTTGAATGGAAGGCAGCTATTAAAAAGTATCCAACTTTAGATCAAACTAATGATGTTGAATATTTTGAAAGATCAGCAACAGCTAGTATTAATATTGGAACAGATTATTATTTTGATAACACCGTTATTCTCGAACAATTTGGACGACTTTTTCAAATTTTACAATTCAAGAAGGAGTTTCAAGATCATGATATTGAAATCATTGTCGATAATGCCCGGACTCATACTGCAAAAAGCTATAGTTTAAACGATTTTGGAAAGTCAGTCAGTACCAGATGTCCGATAGAAAAAATTAAATGGTATGATGAAAATGGAAGCGAAAAAGTTATTGATTGTTATTTTAAAAATGGTCCTAATAAAGACAAAAGCAAAAGACTTTTTGAAATCGCTAATAAATTAAATATACCAGTTCCAAGAGGGTGTAAATTACAAGAATTACAAGATCTTCTTTCTCAACACAAAGCCTTTCAAAACGTAGTATTAACATTTTTCTCGTAGACGTTAAAATATTTCGTATTTGTCTTTTATAGGTTTCGAAACTCGAGGAGCTAGGAAATACACATAAAGTTAAAGTTATATTTGCACCGAAATATCATTGCGAATTAAATCCAATTGAAGGATTATGGTGTAATCAAAAACAATTTGTACGATCGCGCACTGATCAGAGATTTAATACCATGATTCACCTAGTAGCTCAGTCACGAAAACATTTTATTGAAAAACAAATATATAAAAAATTATTTCGACGATTTTGGAGATGTTTATATGCTTATCAATCAGGACAAAATTATTCACAGGTGTTGCAATTATTCTTTAGTCACTCATGTAAAGCAGATGTGTCATCTCATCGAAAGATAACCAACACCAATTTAAATTGAATCAAAACATCTCATTTAGACTATTTTTAGTATTTTCATCTATATTTTTTTCATTCTATATTTTTATCACTTAGTATCAATTTTTCTAGTAACATAATAAAATCAGCGAAATATATTCCATAGAAATTCAGCAGTTTTTCGCTCAGATGTGTACTGAAAAACTTTTAATTATTTAAAGTGAAAATTTCAATTAAGTCCCTGCTTTTGTCAAAAAAATATTAAAAAATCCTATATTAAGGCTTCTAGGCCTTTGTTAGCTCTCATATGTATAGAACGAAAGAGACAAGCAGTGTCACTGATGTTATGTGACAGAACGATGAAAAAGATGACCTTCGTGGGAATCGAACCCACACCTCCTGCTATCCGGGCAGTTGTCCTAAGCCAATTAGACTAGAAGGCGCATCTTAATCATCGTTTAGCGTCCAAGTGATTCATCATGGACGCTAACAGCCTTGTAGGGCACGAATGAAAAAAATTTAATTTTTCAACAATAGAAGGAGTTTGCTCAAAACCCATACATAGTTTTTTTAGTATACATATGGTGGTTATAATTATGAAAAAAGAATCAGTACAACATGTGCCTATGATGAGTTGATGTCTTTGGAAGGAACCCCTGTGAAGTCCATATATCTATATATAGGATCTAACCCTTGTAGACCCTGCTATCAAATCATTTCATCTTTCAAATATCTTAAAAGTTTTTTTTTTATATTGAGCCTCATCAAAAATATCGGTTAAAATATTTGGAGTATTGAAAATTAATATAAAAAATAAAAAATGCCTATATATTTGTCATAGTTCAAATAGTAATATATTACTTAAAGGCTATTTTGGCAATAATAGTATTTTCGAAATTTTTTACAGAAAAATCGATCCAACAATGTTAAAAATAACATATTTATAGGCAACTCGACGAGCTCTATCCAACCATGCTAAAAAAACCGGCAAAAAAATTTTGCTTCATTTTCGATTTGCCGGCACCTTATGTAAAATACATAGAATGTCAACTAATTTCTCATGTTTGATTTGTTTCGATGAAGATATAAGGAGCAGACGATTCATTTTTTAAATATTATTTATAACTATTTACAAAAAAACGATTTTTATGTAAATTTAAATGTTTATATATCGATTGTTTTATTTGAGCTTGAAAAAAATATCACTTGAACCATGAATTTGTTCGATAATATAGTTTGTGTTGTGTTCAGTTCAAACCTAGATGTTTCAAAAAAGTAAACGTATAGATCACGAATATTGTTCTGGCATCTATTGCTAGGTCACAAAATATGTCGTAATGACAATTATTACACCTAAAAATAGTTTTTCAATGGCATAACTATATGAATTTGTGTATGTGATAGATGTTGTTCACTTCGTTGAATAGTTCTTGACGGTGGTAACTTTATCAACTTTTTTTGGTGTTGATAGGCGAGGTGCTAGTGATTTTCTTTTTGGTAATAAATGATCTATTAAAAAGATAAAAATATTTCACATTATTAAATCTTTCTTTGAGAAAATTTCACTTACGATCAAATGAAAATTTAACTAAATGAATTGGTAAATATTGATCTTCGATCACAGCAATCTGAAACACTTCATATTTTTAATAATTCTATCGAAAATTACTCAATACATTCCAAATGATCATATTAATCTTCATATCTAGATTTAAATGTATCATTACGAGCAAGATTCTTCACCGATTGCAATAAGACTTTAATCAATTAACTATTGTATGTTGTGTTTATTTATACCATCAAAGTATATTCTCAATGAGCAGTGATAAAAACTAATATGTACAAAAACTATTCACATATACTATTAAAGATCAATTGATTGGAAGAAAATTCTATATAATGATTTGTGTATAAAAACTTTCTAATTATGAATTTCTTTTAAACGATTGTAACATAATAAGTATCACTAATCATTCAGTCTTTTGTATCATCGATTTCTTAGCTATGTTACATTGATGAAAAAGAATCCGTTTTGTTTAATTATAGAATACATAAGAAATAAACTGAATTGACAGAATTTTCACGTATGTTTCTAAGAATATTTTATTTTGTTCTTAGTTGTAACAATCAAAGAATAAGTACAAGAAAAAAATAACACAGTGTTTGAAGTAACACATTAATAATTTCATATTCTCCAATACACTTAAACACAAGTTTTGTTTATCAAAAAAAAAAGAAAAAGAACAGAAAAGTAATAATGACAATAACCGAGACGAGAACAAAAAAAATGAGTTAACATATTTCATTTGAACCAATACGACCTGATATAATTAACGATTTTCGACTAGAAGAAAATTATTAGAATATAAAATCAATAAAAAAAAAGATATTTACCGTATGTATCTGTATCGATTTCATTGGGCATTTCAGTAATTTGTACTTCAAAACGATTTTGAATTGCATTAAGAATTGCTAGATCACTTTCATTAACAACATATGTTATTGCTAAACCTTTTGTACCAAATCGACCAGCACGAACAACCTAAAATTAAATATTTTTTTTAAATAAATATAAAAACAAATTTTCTTTCGAACATACTCGATGAAGATATGTATCTGTATCTTCTGGCATATCATAATTAAATACAATATTAACACGTTCAATATCAATACCACGTTCAAATAAATTTGTTGCAACAAGAATACGTTTTTGAAATTCTTTAAATTCTTTATAACGTGCCAAACTAAAATAATAGTATTATTCGCATAAGTAATAGAACGAACAAATTCATTGTCGTCTAGTCAAATGACATACTTATGATATAGATATAAACTATTATCGTCTGATTTGACGAAAATAAGATCTAGAAGAATGATAAAAAGAAAACAGTAAATAATAGTCGAAAGTGATCATTTATCTAATCTATCTATCTATATATGTTGTGATCGTCAGAAAAAACGTTATTTTTCATATATTTTGATCAAAATAACTTTATTTAAATTTATTGATTTTCTTTGTAGATGAATACTAATAATTCTCCCGCATCGCTTTATTTCACAGATCGTGTATGTTTCAAATAGATGATATATTAGAGTAATAACACTATTTTTTTATTTCTTTTATAGGCAAGACGTGTTCGGCCCTCGCCCACGTCAACATGTAAGCTTGTTTTCATCTTATTTATTTTTATTTTTGTATATTATTTTTAGATGTTCCTGAACGTGCACCTCCACCTCCACCCAGCTATTCCACGGTAAGTGTTTTTTTTTAATCAAAATATCAATTAGTGTTTGGTGTTCTTCTTCGTTCTCTCTTATTTGTTTAATCAAGTTGTTTTTATCCTTTAACCCTTTCAATCTCGACATTTTCTTGCGTTCTTCACGAATACGAAAAAAATAGTTGAATCTCTCTCTCTTTCATTCTGTCGTCACAATCAGCTGAAATATAGACGAGCACAATTATAACATTATTTAGGTTCCCTTCTTTTTCTTGAAACATATCATATGATATTCGTCGTCTTCTTAGACGACAGAACGCAAAATATTTCTTTTGCGTTCTTCATCATATCTACGAGATGTGATCGATCGAGTTTGGTTATTTATGATAAAGATGACGCTAGCTAATGACACTAACAACAACTAGATGCTATTAGAATTTCGCTCGAATACGAAATGCGGTGCAAAGCACAGATTCGATTTTCGAAGAAACGCTATTTCGGATAGGAAATGAGTAAACTATTTTGGCATATTTAATAGCTAGGTTTTCAGGTCAGTTTGTTTTTTATAATTTAGCAATGTTTTATTTGTTTAAAAGCCAAAAGTTATGGCTTGAATCAATTGATGGATTAAACTCAATATTATTTTCGATTTGAATTATTCAGTACAAGAAGTCTATGAACGAACATCTATGTATTTGTAATGAACGATTTGTGAATCATTGTTTTA